ATTAAGGACACGTCAGAAAAGATCGTTATTATTAGGGATCGGATGCGTACAGCTCAAAGCAGACAGAAAAGTTATGCTGACCGTCGAACTCGTGCTTTGGAGTTTAAGGTTGGTGATCAGGTTTTGCTTAAGGCTTCTCCTATGAAGGGAGTAATGCGGTTTGGGTCAAAGGGTAAGTTATCGCCTCGTTTTGTGGGTCCTTTTATGATTACAGATCGGATTGGGGCAGTAGCTTATCGTCTGGCTCTACCAGATAATCTTCATAGGGTACATAATGTTTTTCATGTATCTATGCTGCGAAAATTTCTACGGGATGAAGATCGATACCAACACATTGATGTGGGTGAGATGGAGTTGCAACCCGATGCAACCTATTTGGAACAACCTTACTGTATTCTCGATCGTAGGAATCAGATACTGCGCACGAAGACTATTCCATTAGTACGTGTACAGTGGAGCCATCATAGTGCTACAGAGTCTACTTGGGAACGGGAAGATATTATCCGGGCCAAGTATCCAGAACTTTTTAAGACACGTATGTAGTGAATTTCGGGGACGAAATTCCTTTATTAGGGGGGGAGAATGTAATACCCCGTAATTTTAAAGAATGTATTTAAATTAATTTTGTGTTAGGTTAATTAATTTTATTTATTTGTGCATACTACATTATTTTATTAAATTCATTTAATTGTGCATGTAAATTAATTGTGTATGTTAAAATAGTAAATTTATTCATTTAATTGTGCATGTATTATTTTAATTACTTTTATTTGTTGATTATGTTTAATTAAGCAATATTAGTTAATTAGAGTATTATATTTGTGTTATAAAGTATTATGATAATATAATATATTATTTTGTAATAACAATAATAATAATTATATTAGTTTAATAATAATAATAATAAGAATATAATAATAATAATAATAAAAGTTTATTAATAATAATATTAGTAATAATAATAATAATAGTTATAATAAATCAATGTAATGATGGAAAATTAAATACTAGGATAGAATTTCATTTACTATGGTAGAATGGTGGATCAAATATCTTGATTAAAGATAGCATTGTCTTAAAGCCATATAGGTAGGAATATGAGAAATGGGTGAGAAGTTATTATAAATTAGATATTTGTAATATTTATATTATATATTTTGTGTATAAATTAACTAGCTTGCCTTAGAAAAAAAAAATAAAAGGGAGTTAGAAGCAAAGTATAAATTCTAGAGAGCTATTTTATAAGAGTGAAAGGAAAAGAGAAAGAGAAAGAAGCTTGGACCGGTGTAGGCAATTTTACCCGACTACGCGCAGACCGACGGATTTATTTTAAATCCAAAAAGGCAAGTTATTATCTACTTTTCCCCTTTGAATTAATAAATTAATTGTTTAGCTTATTTTTATGCATAGAGCCAAGGTTTGGAGGTTAATAAATTATTAATTTTATTTTATTAAATTAATGGAATTTTAATTATATAGGATGGTATATATTTATTTAATGTCCTATGAAATTAATAATGGCTAAAAATAATTAAATAAGACTTTAGGGATTTTTCTAGAATTTTCTAGATTTTTCCGGGCATTTTCTGCAATTTCCGGCGACCTTCCGGCGAGTTTTCCGGTCGCCGGCAGTGGGGGAGACGACCGGAGTGATCCGGTGCGACGCGGCACACCATAGGAGGGTGTACGCGCGCATCTTGGCCATTAGTGGAGTCTGATTGATCCGGTGCATCGCGGTCCATGATACCGCGGTACACCCGGATCTGTGGGCGTTGGATGGAGGGAAGATAGGGTGAGATGATCCGGTGTGACGCGAGTACGGAATCCGGATGCAGCCAACCAACCAGGAAGTGACACGTCAGCAAGGCACCCTTAGTGCGCGCGTGGCAGCGCGTGCGCGCGCGTGGGAGCGCGTGGCTGATGCCAGACGCGCGTGGAGGCGCGTGGGAGAGTGGGGAAGGTTGGGCTGCGCGTGGGGAGGCTCTGGGAGGCGCGTGAGGGCGCGTGTGGGGTCCCTACAGCTGCTGGAAATTACCAGAATACCCTTAGGGCCTGTTTTGTAAATTCCAGAACCTTAAACTTGGATTTTTAGGTACTGTGTTGGTAATTACGGGTTTAACGGGCCACGAAATTATTATTTTAACACCCGTTACTTATTCTTATGGCCGATTAATCTTTTCTAAGCATTTATTGGCTCGTTCGCAGTACGGATACTAATGTGATTTATTTAACGACATTGTTAAATATAAATAGTGTTATTATCGTATTTAATGGTATCAAACATTACTGTTAAATTAAATAAGGCCATGGTTTTAGTCAGATAAATTATCCATGATATCTTATAGGATGTTTATACTGTTAATTGATATATAAACCATGATTATTATGCTGTGTGCATTTCAGGAAATAAATGGACTGTTTAATTATGTCGCATTTATATTATATGGATGTGTTGCCATATAGAACCATATGAGCTGGCTAATAAGTTTAGACTCATTTATACCTTATGCATTCGTTGCGATAGACAGATGTGTGGCTGTCGGGGTATGTGGTTTAATATTATTGGCATGTGTTGCCTAATTAACATACTCAGTATATTTATTAATATTGCCGGCATGTGTTGCCTAACTTATATGCTCAGTATATTCATCAGTACTTTGCGAGGTGTTATCACTGTGTAGTTCGTTATAGTCTGTGTTGTCAGTACCGTGCACCATGTATAATAGCTGATTTCCCGGGTGGGGAAAGGCGACACTTAACCACCTAGTGTGAGTCTAAGTGATCACCGTCTATTCTGGTTGAGGTCATGTTATACATGGGATAGTTCCCTTAGGATGTATACAGATATAGTACTCAACCGATTCATAATGATTAATTTATTTGATTCTCTGATTTGGGTCATAGTAGAGAGGACTTGCTCGTGGGGTTGACCCACCATTGTTGTTATTTCAGGATACGGTCAATACCCGTTCCAAGGTTGAGGTTAGCAGTGTGGGACCACCATCCGAACTCATCTACTCTTACGATCCAGTTCAGGGTAGAAGTTTTACGTATTACTTCAGTTTCAGTTTTTATTTACTTTTGACGTCGAACTCTCAGGTTTATATTTAGGGATCCTTGACATAGGATTTCCAAGTTGTAATGGAGGACTGTATTTAAATAAAGGATGGATGGATGTTGTATTATTTAATGTTTCTTTCCTGTCTAAATTCTTTTATTTCCATCACTTTGTATTCCATGCTTGTATATTGCCAATTGTTTTTGATATCCCTCGTTTTTCGTGTATAAGCCTGATCAACTTATGCGTGGAAAATGTGGGGGTGTTACAATTGTACTGACCGAAACTTCCGCACAGAGAGAGAGAGAAGGAAGAAATTATTTTTGGAATTTTAGTTATGAACATGGCCTTATCTAAATCAAACACCTCATTCATGATAAATATCATGTACTTATCATTTTCCTATATTTGTATACGCTATTATGAATATATGTTGCTTTTGTTATATTATTAACCCAATAAAAATGAAATTCCTATGTTGGACGTTCTATATTACATAAAACACCATTTTACCAAAAAAAAACGAAAGAGAGGAAAAAATAAAATGATAATGTTTAAAATTTATGAAAATTTAGCCGTACTAGAATTGGTTATTTGATAAATCCAACATTCGATACAAAATTGGTATCTATAGTTGGCACAAGTACAGTTTATCAATGGGGTAGGTATGGACTTATAGTAACCCCACCCTCCGACAAATAATAATAATAATAAATCCTTCTCCCCAACCTCGATACGGATGAAGCATCATTCTCACTACGAGGAGCATCTGAGTTGTGCTTCAGCTCTCTCTCTTCCTCACACACACACACACGCACACACACACACAAAAGACCCAAGAGGTCAAGAGGATAAAAGATTCAGAGTTGTAGGGTCCAAGGAAAGGGAGAGAGATGTGCTCTATGATAAATTGAAAAAGAAAAGGAATTACAATAAAAATATTTTTGATAATTACAAGAAGGGGTGGCTTTATAATTATGAAAGGATGTGTACAAAAATCAATTTTTTTATTTAAAAAAAAAAAAAAAAAGAAAAAAAGTTGGGGAAACTAAGATTTAAGATAATTTTATGAAGGGATGGTAATAGAATTATGAAAAGATAATGTTTAAAAAGAATAAAATAAAATTGAGCAATGCAGCAGCCTCCACTGTGCCCTTAGTGGCTCTGTCCCTGCCAAGGCCAAGAAAGGAGGCATAATACATTTCAACAAGAATACATTGAATAAGTGCAATCATAAACAAAATGCAATAAAGCCACACTAAGTAATTTATTGCCCTGCAAGAAAGACATTTGGACATAATTATTGTATTGCATTCCAGTGCAAACACATCCACACCATTTCCATTTCAAAGGACAGTTTGTTCATACTAACATGATGAAACTCATACCAGATCTTTATGAATACTCGTGAATCACAGCACTATAACCCCCCTAGATGTAGATGAATCACAGAAGTTTCAAACACTAATGTCTGAGCTTTAAGAACTAAGAAACTTGTTGGTGGGTAGGGATTGGAAAGGGGGAAGGGTTTCACAGAAATAACTTCCTATTTAGCAAAACTAAGTAAAAGGTAAACAAAATAATACAACATATTCAGTAGTCAAATAACACCAAAAGCCATTGTCAAGGGAAAAACATTAACATCAAACAACATTCAAAAGGAAACATATATATTTGCATTGCAGCGCGGGCGTATTATTATAGCTGCACCAAAAATCGAACATAATGCTTACAAAAGATAATGCTGTGCAGGACAATTTTCTTAATGACCATCAGATGTCAAAGACAATTGTATATTTTTTCGGTAAAATAAATACAAATTCATATTGCTTATATAAAAAACTATGATCAATCACACACACAGCTTTACATGAATTGTATTGACCATAACATCATACACTCTGCAGAAATCAAACCAAATTGATATAAATATTCTAAATACCTTCATAAGGTGTATCCACCGCACACCTAGGGCTCCTAAAACTCAACCTAGAGCTCCTAAAATCCAACCCACGAGCTGTTGACTTCTTCAAATTGTCACGAATAGAGCTAAACCAAAAAAAAAAAAAAAAGGAAAAGCACACAAAAAGATTGAATTAGTGAAAATTGTAAAAGATAACTTACCAAATGTAACCTCGAGTACCTGTACAAACTTATTAAATGTTTAATAATCCGAAATAATTAAGAACAAAACGCGATGGGAATACAAAGAACTTTTATCAACTTGAATTGAATTGTCCTACTTACAACTTATAATTTGTATACATCAATATATGTGTGTAATGCATTGGAAAGAGAGAGAGAGGTGCTTACAGTTGTTTGCCAAGGAAAGGTGACGAAAGAATAGGGTTTGAGAGCAAAAGGGCCGCCATGTAATATTGAAGGTGAAGATCAACGCGACGGCAGCTGTGGCGGTGACCGGCGAGAGCGGCAGCCCTGGGGTTTGGGTTGGCTGGTAGTTGGGAAGATTTGTTGAGGTTTGTTGCAGGCCGTATCCAATCCGCTTATATGCGGGTCAGATTTGGGTTCAACTTCAACCCGCTTTTATCCTACTCATGATGACCCGCCCAAACCTGGGCATTTGGCAGGCCAGGCCCATATATTTGGGCCCAAGAGGGACCCAGGATTTTTTATTTGGGAGCCAATCTAGTATACATGAAAATTTTAACAAAACTAAGTACTATGAAAATGTATAGACCTAAGTCACATGAAGCGGGGGCAGGAGCGTGAGCGAGTGCGAGAGTGGGAGCGTGAAAGTGGTAAAAATTTAAGTCAAGTGGAAGGGAATCACAGAGAGAGTGCGAGAGTGGGAGCGTGAAAGTGGTAAAAATTTTAAACGGGAGCGGCACCCGTTTAAAAGAATTATGTTACTTAAGTATAAAAACCTTAAATATTGTTGAGGGTGAAATCCACGCGGTTCGATACGGCACCGTTTTCTTGCAAAAAAAAGAATAGAAGATCAATGAATCTTGACGGCACCGGTGTGGTGCCTGCCAAGAGCTCTCCGACGATCAAGTCAATCACCAGAGGTCTAAAAGAAAGGCAGGGATTTAATAATCATTTTTAGTCGGACCTTATTCCCGAGTCATCTTCCTATTTATCGTCACTTCCCTTATTCTTGATAAGGGAATATCATAATCCTTAGCCCATGGAACTTATGTGATAACCCCGGATTTCCGAATGCGGGTTTGCCAAACCCACGGCCGAATACCCGATGATATCAAAAACAAAATCGGTAATAAACAAACACAGAGTACAAAAGAATAAAGAAGAATAAATAAAATGCTGACAAAAAACTAAAATGATAATCTAATAATAAACCTCATAATATATTTCCATTAATTAATAAACTCTTCTGATACAACTGATCCTCCAAAATACAATTCGGGAATCCATATTGTGTGGACCCCCAGAAAATCCTAACTAAATAAATGACAGCAATAACTGTCTAAATCAGGAAACTGAATCATAAAGGAACTCTTATGTAGCATCGGAAGAATGAAATAGACTGATCCCCGCTCAGCACGAACAATCTCTACTCCTGACGAACACCTGAAAAATAATGGTGGGTCAGGCCCACAAACAAGTTCTACTCTACTACAGTCCAAGTAGAGATCTGATACACGTATACATCCTAGTCAATCCAACAGTAACTAATAGTCCGTATATATATATATATATATACACACACATACTAAAAGAACCTCACTAGACTATAGGGTTGTCTCAACCTGAATAGTAGGCAACATGTAAAACGCACATATAGTGGGCATGAGTACCTAGACCTACCAGGGTACACAACTACACTATATCTAGCTACACATCCCTGGCGATATACGCGCCCTAACCACTGATCCTTAGACTCAAGCTCATATCATGGTACCATACTTATATATATATAATCTAGTAACCATCATATCCAGTATAAATTAAACATCCATAAGTCATTCAACTTGTTCAGGTGACCTGACTTGAATATAAGTAGGACTTAACATTTTAGTTAATCAATTCCCTTATATAAAATAGGTAGGACTTAACTGATAAGTTAATCCGTCCCTAGAATGCCACTATCCCATACCAGTGCATTAAATCACACAATCCAACAATTGATGTAACGATTAAGGAAATACATCAAACAATTCAGAAATAACTATGATAATATGATATCAAGTTATTACAAAATAAGAATGACTTATTATTTATTTAAGCTTCCTATATCATATGTCCTACACAAACTGAATCTTATACATAATGATATTTTATTATGCCGTCAAATAAGCATTCTCCATATCCAATTCATCCTACACATTTAATCTTAATTGCTAAAACATTTTAAAAGATTAAATCCAGTCGTTTGTTTAAAACATTCAAATAGCAAGCATCATTATGATTGAGTCTATTTAAATTTATTTAAACCCAAACTTAGTTCCTATTTAATGTTCAGGAATCCTAGGCATGTTTCTACGTTCCATCATTCCACAGATATGAAAAATACATAACGTAAACATATAAAAATTCACACCGGAAATCAAATCAAAATCATGCATTTATCAATTCATAACACAAGAACAGATATGAACCAATTTCATAAAACCTATGTTCTAATCCAATTAAACATGCATAATTATTTAATTTTAGGTGTTTAATATATCCTGAAATTTCCTAGGCATGTATAGAAACACGAATCAAAGGAAAAAGATAGAAGAAGAACTTGCCTTAAACTTTTGGATCGAAAGTTAAACTTCTTCTTCCTTGATTTTTTCTCTACAGGGTTTTTGAGATACCCCTCGGATCCGAGACACGGGTTGATTAGGCCCAGGCCCAAACCCGAGGGAATATCAAACAATTAATATTTTATAATGAACACGGAATACAAAATAAATTAAGAAATGAAATTAAAGCTGAAAGGAACTAAAAATAGAATCCGCAAAATATTATAATTATTAAAATCTATCAAACCCAAACTCCAAAACTCCATCAGTTTACAACTTGGGAATCCATCTCTAGTGGACCCCTATTAAACATCCAAACGGAAGGTAGAACAACTGTAATAAACGTCCAGAAATAAAACTATAGAGAGGGCCCTACATCGTCGGAAGAGTGAATAGAGACTTCTGCTCAGCACGAACACGTCTAAGCCTGGAACTGTCGTGTACGTGAAAAATAGAAGTGGGTCAGGCCCACGCGCAAGTTCTATACTACTACAATCCAAACAGAGGCCCGATACGCATGTACATCCTAAACAATTCAACAATAGCTAATAGTCCGTAAATATATATATAATCACACTAAAGGACTCTCACTGGACTACAGGCCGGTCTCAACCTGAATAGAGGTAACATGCTAAAACGCACACGAAGTGGGCATATGTACCTATACCTAAAAAGGGTACACTCCAACCATCGTAGCCAGCTACACATCCCGATGCATATCGCTCCCTAGCCATCGGTCTTGAGGCTCAAGCTCATACCGAGGCACCATAACAGTACATATATAAAATCCATCCAAAATCCCTGGTATTGCCGCTCAACAAGTAGTTGCCATGACAATACAAATCCACGGGACTTAACTTTTAGTTAATCCCATTCTTATTCCAAGTAGGTGGGTAATGGTATTGTTTTAAAAACCAAACCTATCCTTAGTATGCCACCGTCCCATACCGGTGCTTACTTTCCAATCCTCCAGTAGTCAATAATACCAATAAATCAAGTATATATCAACTAAATTCCAACATCCAACATTCAATGTTAGCAGTGATAAAATAAGCATTGATAAATAGGGTCACAACAACAACATATACATGCCCAATTTAAGTTGTTCCCTTTAGTCTGATATAAAGACAGAATTGTGGGGTATGTATCACAAAATCCTAACCTCCACAGTTGATACTAACTGTGATAATGTAAGTATCAAAACAATATTCACAGTATGTATGTAGACATGCTCAAATTATAGTGTTCCACAAAACCGATCTAGTGTTAAACTCAAATCCTCCTAGTATTTAAGTTCCAACAGTTACTATTACAGAAGTTAAGATAGCTATCATCTAGACCCATCCTTCCAATAATTTATACTAGAAGTGGTAAGGAAAAACGTGAACCACAGAACCACAATGCATCCACAAACATGCTTAGTCTAGGTTGAACAAGCATACAACACTACTGTAACTACCAGTTTCATAGCAAAACAGATATCATTTTAGTTTGGTTTAATCTTCATTAATCCTGAAATCATTTAAGAGTGCAAAGAGTATGAAGCCTAAGGGAAAGAGTAAGGATAGAATCTTGCCTCAGAAACTTTTGTTCAAAGTTTCAACGTCGTCTTCTTAAAAAATCCCGGCGAGTTCCAAAACCCGGTTACTGTTCACGGGTACGAAATACTATTCCTGAACTCAAAATCTGATCTCCACCATCCAGATTGTGCGACACTGAGTCACGAACCTATCCTCCAAATTTCAGCTTGATCGGACCACGGACGACGCGGGATCGGATGTTTGATGAAATCTGGGCAGAATGGAAAAAAACCTGTGCGACCCTGTTACTGTTCACGAGTACGAATCACTGTTCCCGAGGTCAAACTCTGATCTTCACCGTTCAGATTGTGCGTCACTGAGTCATGAACCTCTCCTCCAAAATTCAGCTCGATCGGACCACGGACGAAGCGGGATCGGAGCTTTGATAAAACCTTGGCAGAATGTGAAAAACTGCGTTTTTCCTTCTCTACTTCCACAAAACGTGTGCTTTGTTTAAAAAAAACCCTACACAGACGTCTACCTTATACTTATAGAGTTTTCCTAAACCCTAGGTTCATTTAAGTCCAACTCACAATCCTAACCGGCCCATCCAATTAACGTAGAAACCTACGACGGCTATAATATAAAATCCTAATTTATACTATAATTAAAACCCTAGTTATATGTATTTACCTAATTACCCTATTCACCATTAAATACTTAACAAATAATCTAATTGAACAAAATAATAATTAGTAAACCCAATTAAACCAAATAAGACACACATAAAATAATTAAACCAATTACACTTAAACCATTAATGCCAATTAAATAATTAAAACACTAACAAGTAATTCCAATCAAATAACTAAACCAATTACACTTAAACCATTAATGCCAATTAAATAATTAAAACACCAACAAGTAATTCCAATCAAATAATTAAAAATAAATATCATTTAAATAAATTAAATCACCACAAACGAAATAAATTAAATCACCACAAAAGAAAACAATTAAGCACCTAATAAAAAAAAATAATGACACATAATCAAATAAAATGCACTTAAATAATAAATTAAATACCATTAAATATCAGGAATATCCTTTTTAAAATTAGGGGTATTACAATTTTATTCCACATTCCTTCATTTTCCTCCTTCACTCTCTAACTCTCTCTCTCTAATATATCACGTGAATATTTCTAACCCCCTTTTACAACCTATAACTATATATTTATAGGCTAAATAAAATATCCCTAACTTTTTTCCCAATCCAATTCAACTTAAAAAATAATAATAATAAAAATATTTAAAAGATAAGTAAAATATGTTACGTATATAATTTATGTATATCTTTATGAAATAAATAAATTATACACGTCCCATTATTTATTAATGGATTATTCAATAATACCTAAGTTACTATAATATTATAAAGTAACTTAAAATATAACACGTATCAAATTCTATATATATTTTTATTATTTAAATATAAAACATATACATCAGATTAAATATTACTATCCAAGTTACCATAGAAGTAATTAATAAATTACTCATTATTTATTAATGGATTATCCAATAATGCTTAAGTTACCATAATATTATAAAGTAACTTAAAACATAACACGTATCAAATCTATGTATATTTTTATTATTTAAATATAAAACATATACACCAGATTAAATATTACTACCCAAGTTACCATAAAAGTAATTAATAAATTACTTTCCCTTTTATATATGTATATAATATATATCTATATATATACACACACACACACAACTATCCATGGGTAATAATTTATACCCATCCAACCTCCTATCCAAGTAGTTCATGGGACCCAATTGGTTGACCCATTACTACTAACCATAACTATAAAAGAAAAATAAAATAAAATAATAAAAGTAAAGAAAACATTTAATTTACAATTAATCAAAATGCCATTTAAGCACATAATCTAATTAAACAATTAACATATAGACAAATACAAATAACACATAGACATATAATCAAATACTCAAGTAACACTTAATTCAATTAAACCCATAAACAATGAGTCAAATAATCAATTAAATAATTAAAAATACAATTAAAACAAATAAATAAATACCGAGACTATCTTTTTAAAATTAGGGGTATTACAACTTATCCCATGGAAATCTTATCCTTGATAAGATTTGTCATTATCCCACGAAACTTATCGAATGGAAATCGTTATCCTTGATAATGAAATATTATATTTCGAAAGTAGAAGAGATCTGACGGTTAGTCAACACTTAGTTGCCTCTATCGTTAGGTCAAGATAGGTTAGGTTTATTTTTCTCTATCAGTTGCCCCTCATTCTCAAGCTTGCTCGTCTAGCTTTGGGAATGTAAATTTTTTTTTTTTTTTTTACCCCGGCACTTTTCCCTCGGGAACAGTGCCCTCCGGGGGGGGGGGTACTGTTTATTGAACAGTAGTTTTTTTTTAATAGTAGATTTTTTTTTCCCCCCCCCCGGCACTGTTCCAACAGTGCCTGCTGGTACTGTTCATTGAACAGTATAATTTTTTATTTTTATTTATTTATTTATTTATTTTGTACCCTTAGGTACTCTTCTCTTGGGTGATGTTCCCATGGGTAATCTTTCTTTGGGTACTTTGTCATTGGATAATGTTCCCTTGGGTACTTTTCCCTTGGGTAATCTTCCCTTGGGTAATTTGCCCTTGGGTAATGTTCACTTTGATACTCTTCCCAATGGTGAAATTAACATAGATATCAAATCAAGATTCTGTTTTGAAAGGGCGTGGATTCAAACCCATGGTCAATGACTCTTAGTGATGTAAAACTGGATTTTTCTTTTGAAAATTCAGTAGACTAGTTGTAAACTTCGTGGGTTTCAGTCAGCCCATCCCTTTGGTAAGGGAATAATTTTTACGAGCTTTACTTAGCTCGTCACTCCTATAATAAGGGAACGAGCTTCACTTAGCCCGTCCCTTTAATAAGAGAATTAAATTTTATGAGCTTTCCTCAGCTCGTTCCTTTAGTAAGGGAATTAGGTTTTATGAGTTTCATTAAGCTCGTCCCTTTAGTAAGGGAATTAGATTTTTGTCAAGCGTCGGGAATACCAAGTTTTACTGAGCTAAGCATGCTTGATGATTACTTTCTTACCCCTTTTAATAAGGGAAGTAGATTTGCTCGAGCGTTGTGAGCTCACCCTTTAATAAGGAAGTAGTTAACCCTCTGTCTCTTTACTGAGGGAAGAAGATGAAGTTGACCAGTCGTTTCTTTATAAGGGAAAGAGGTGTAGTCTGAAGGAGGGTGACCCATTTAATACGAGAGGTAGTCGTCTCGTCTCTCTAGTAAATGAATAAAGTTTTTATTATCTCACCTTATGTGTAGAAGAAGTAATCGATTTCTTATCCCTTTAATGAGGGAAAAATGTGTTGTTGGCCCCCGAGTCCTCCTCACTATATGTTCTTACGCTTTGGCTAAAAAATGATCTCTTATAGCTGGTATCATTTTCATCTCCGGTGAGAGGGCCTGACCTCTTCTTGTCCTTTCCTTCATTCCCCTTCCGTGCATTCATGGCGTCTTCAGCGTTCATGTGTTTCTGCGCTCTAATCAACAACTCTACCATGTTGGTGGGAGGTTCTTTGGATAAGGCGAATGAGAATCTAGAGGTTTGAAGTCCTCCTATGAAAGCGATCAAAGCCACCTTGTCGTCCATCTCTTCTGCCTGCAACATTTCTGTGTTGAATCGGGTGATGTATTCCCGGATCGATTCGCCCTTCTGTTGCTTCACAGTAAGTAGGTAAGTGGCCGGCCTCCTATGCCTCTGACTTGCAATGAAGTGGCTCACAAATAGCTTACTCAGTTCTTCGAATGTATTGATGGTTCCTGGCTTCAGCTTATTGAACCAAACTCTTGCCGATCCTTAAGTGTAGTAGGAAAAGCTCGGCACATGATTGTATCTGGCACGGCGTGCAAATGCATAAGAGCTTGAAAGGTCTCTAGGTGATCGAGGGGATCTTTGGTCTCATCGAAGCTTTCGAATGAGGGCATCCTGAACTTGCTAGGCAGGGGGTATTTCATAACGGCGGGGGTGAATGGCAGGTGGTCCTCTGCACCAGGTCATCTATGGCGACATGACCTTTCCCTTTCATAGCCTGCATTACATCTTCTATTTTTGCCTCGAGATCCTCAATCTGTAGGTCGAAATAGGTAATTTTCTCTGTCTTTTCCGTAACGCAGAAGGTTGTGCCTGTTTGAGACCGGGGATTTTGTGGAGGCGGGGAAAGAGGTTATTTGTGTCGGTTTTCGACTTGGCTTTGTTCTGCCTCGAACTTGTGAGAAGGATTGTTTTCTCGGTCCTCCTCGTGTGGTCCCCCATCATTCAGATTGGGAGGACATGGGTCGAACAATTCTTGTTGAGGTGGTGGTCCCGCTGGGATAAGATGTTGTAGGATCTCTGCATTTTGCTGGATCAACTGGTTCATACCCTGATTTAGAGTTTGGACCTGTAGTTCTAACGCTACAAGCCGTTCCTGGTCATTCGGGACGTTTAGGTGTTCACCCGACCCTTCTCTTTGACTGGATCCCTGCAACGATGTTTCTTTTCCAGTTACCATATCGGACCGTAAGTGCATATACCCAACCGAGTAATTTATTGATTTAAGGGAATTGTCATTTCCTTACAGACAGCGCCAACTGTTGAGGGTGAAATTCACGCCGTCCGATACGACACTGTTTTCCTACAAAAAAGAGAGTAGAAGATTGATGAATCTTGACGGCACCGGTGTGGTACCTGCCAAGAGCTCTCCGACGATCAAGTCAGTCACCAGAGGTCTAAAAGAAAGGCAGGGATTTAATAATCATTTTTAGTCGTACCTTATTCCTGAGTCGTCTTCCTATTTATCGCCACTTCCCTTATTCCTGATAAGGGAATATCATAATCATTATCCATGAAAATCTTATCCTTGATAAGATTTGTCATTATCCCATCGAACTTATCTAATGAAAATCGTTATCCTTGATAAATAAATATTATCTTTCTAAAGTAGAAGAGATCTGGCGGCCAGTCAACACTTAGTTGCCTTTATCGTTAGGTCAAGATATGTTAGGTTTATTTTTTCTTATCAAATATTAACCTATCAAATATTAACCGTCAAATTTTATTAAATAGTTAAAAAAATAGTTTATTATTTTATATTCAACGAGTTAAGATTTAATTTACGCATAAATTCTTTGTACACCGATAAGTAGGGGAACAATCGTTTGTATATTTTTATGCTTGATTTGGTAGGAAAAAGAAAAAAAGATAGAGAAGCAAAGAATAGACAAAGAATAAAACATGTTTTTCATTGCTTAGACCGTAAGGAGAGTTGGGGAGAAAAGGAAGGAATAAAATGGATGGAAGACGGAATGAATCATATGGATAAATATGATGTGTGCTAAAAAGTAACATTTGCTACCCTTCTATAATTTGTATTAGTTTAAATAGAAGGGTTGTGATGGTAAAAAATCTAAAACCTTCATTTTCTTCCCTCCTACAAAATAATAGAATGCGTTGACTAGTGAAATCACCGCCACCTTTACAATTTTGTTTCTAGAATCCAACACCAATTACTTATTAAATATATATATATATATATATATATATATATATATATTTGTCTGGAAATCTCTGAAGAGAACTTAGTAATAAAATTAGAAACGAACTTGGTAATAAAGCTAAAAACAAAGAATTAGAATCAAAAGGCTTGAGAAATATTAGTCCAACTAAAATGGGGTATATTGAGTGTAAATTTAATAAAGATTTGAATGCTAATAATATAATTATAACACTTCAAAACAAAATAATTTTTCAAAAAAATCACTTTTAGTATCTAAGATCAATAATACAAATGGAGTAAAATTGGAGCGGGTTAGACAAAATGATGGCAAACTAGTGGGTTTTAATTTTTATGCAATAAAAGAATGATACATAGGTTAAAAAATAAATTTTTATAAGATCGTTATTAGACCAAATATGTTGATGGAGTGGAGTGTTAAGCCTCACGAAATATGGTTACTAATGAAAGAAAGAGAAAAATAGGTGTAACGCACATTTTTTGAGAAAATCCAAGATACTATACTTAGATAATTTGGACATATGCATCTAAGACTTATACTTCGAAACTGTGGGAGTAAAGGAAAATGGGTGGAGGGAAATAGAAAAAATTGAACAAATTTTATCTGGTAGAGAAGAGTTGAGAAAAAAAAAAAAAATAGAATTCCGTCTTTCTTCTTTTATGAATTTTTATCCTTTAAATATAGGTACAAGAGATGAGGAAAGACAAGTAAGACTTTTATAAAATTTTTAAATTATAATATTATAAATAAATATAGATATAATAGTAAAATAATATATATATATATATATATATATATATATATATTACTATACTTATAAAAATAATTTAAAACACTCTTATTTTTTTTTTTTCACATAAGTTTTAGTTTTTACTTTTCTCTTTCATCAAATTGAATTAAAAAAAATTAAAAAATACAATAACTTCTCTATGATATATATCTTATTTACTTCATTCGTTCCAAATTAAGTGCAGTATTTTAAAAATTGTGACTTATTACTTTAAAAATTATAATTTACGTGAATTGCAGTCCCCAAAATACGACACTTAATTTGGAGGAAGCATATATATATATATACACACACTTTTGCTGAAAGTTCCGTTTGCGACCGTGTTGTCAATCTTGCCTTAATGCCACACTAGTTGAGAAGATACATACTTAATGCCACACTTTCAGCAAAAGGGTGTGGCATTAAGGCAAGATTGAGTGTACGCTCGTAATATTCTCAAACAGAAAGCACTAAAATGGTAACTTAGTTCCACCTTAAAAAAACCACACGGATAAAAGATTGATAATGATATTATAATCCAGCTCACCAGCTCCGTAGAACAATAAATTCGGATTTTCAGATTAGGTTTCTCTCTCCACTCTCTCACCCTCTACACTGCATTGCGGCTAGGGTTTCCCCCAATCCATTCTCTCATCTCTCTAACAGCACTAGGGTTTTGTGTGTTTCCGATCTGCTCGATTGATTGATGATGGGTGTGAAGTGGAGTTAGGGTTTTGTGGTCGCCTGACGCTGAAAGCTAGGATTTCTATTGGTGTGGGTGAGACCAGAAATGGCGACTGCGAACCCTTTTGATTTGTTGGGCGATGACGATAACGATGACCCATCACAGCTGATCGCTGCTCAGCAGCAGAAGATCGTACCCAAGAAAGCCACGGCTCCAGCGGCAGCCAAGGCTCAGCCGCCACAGCAGCAGAAGCCGGCGGCTAAGCTGCCCAGCAAGCCCGTCCCTCCATCTCAGGCTGGTGAGCTATTATTTTGATTCATATACTTGTTTCATGTGTTCAAGCTGTTCATTTTGACTAAATCAGTTGTGTTGTTTTTTCAAATGATAGACCACAGTGTTTAAATGGGGTTTGTTTGGATTTGATTATGTTTTAATGTATATAGTTTGATTTTGTGGATAGTGTAATTTGGTGTGATAGATTGCAGTTGAATAAATGGGTTTCTTTGAATTTACCGATGGTTGATTGTACTTCATATATAAAGTGGGTAGCTTTGATATTGTTGTTATAATCTGACACAATACTTCGTCTTTTGTACTGAACTATTTATAGTGTTTTTATTATAACACTGTACTTTTTACCATGTACAAAGAGAGACCACCCCCCCCCCCCCCCCCCCCCCCCCCCTTTTTTTTCTCCTTTAATTGGTATGTATCTGGTACGATTTCTTTTACTAGAAATAGTATGTAAGCAACTTAGCATTTGTACCAAAATTTTCTATGTAAATATATGGTTTGCTAGGTCTGGTGTTGTCAAAATGATATGGGTATTTTGCATTGACCTCCCTGAGGTAGCTCACCCTGTTTGAAAAATTACAGACCTCCTTTGTTAAACATGGTTCAGATTCCGCCACCGTTAATGGTTAACCGATAACCACTCAACAACGATTTTAACAGGTATCAGCAATCTGGAATTTCGAAATACCAAATTTCCCCACAAGATTTGTTTTATTTCAGAAAAAAAGTCTGCCCAAATTTGAAGGGCAAAATAGTAAGATTTCATAATATTTTTATCCTTATAGGAGTTATACACAAAATAATGAGAAGAATATAAAAAAGGGTATATCAATTATCCTTTGCTGTGTTGGTATTTTGCGTTTTAGAAATGAGTCCAATGACGGTGTATATGTTGTATATGAGGAAATTGAAATGCAAAGTGATGCACAGAAGTCTGCTCAAATTTTTTCCTCTGAAGTTTAGAACCATACGAGGCTTTAGGTTTGTATGGGTGGTTGATTGTTTGCTATTGAAGATGATAAAATGATCTCAAATTCTCGAGCACTTGTTAGCTTGTGCTTATTTATGCTAGATGCATCTGGTGCTATGATATGGGTGGTGGTTAGGTATACTTGTCGGTTAGACTTTAGAGGGTCAAGTTTGGGGCCAAGGTTTTAGATCTGTATTAAACCTAGGTCCTAAGCTTGCTGATTTCAGAAGGAGAAAAATCAGATTATATTTCAAAGGCTTTTCATAGTGCCGAATTTTGCACATGCCATATTATCATTTCATCTCATGCTATATACTGTTTTTACTTATTTATGTTTGTCGCATAGGTATTGTTGATTATGATTTTCTGGCAAGAAGAGTTTTGTAGCTCTTCTATTGTGCAGAATACTGAATTTGGTGTGCAGTATATTATATTCAGTCTTGATTTGATTTATATTTATTTATTTTTTTTGTGTGGGTATTTTCTTTATTTCTTTTTGCATACTTGTTATGTATTCACTTGTGCTTTCTTTTACTAGTGAGGGAGGGAAAGACTGAAACTGGACGTGGAGGGGGCCGTGGTGGTGGACGTGGGTATGGACGTGGACGTGGTGGAGGTGGAGGTGGAGTTGGAGGTGGAGGTGGAGGTGGAAGTGGATTTAATAGAGAGACGGCCTACAGTGAGAATTCATTCAGCACCAGCAAGTATTCTAGTGGTCAAGGTGCCCCCGAAGAGGCAGATACTGGAAAACTTTCTGAAAGGCGCGGGGGCTATGGTGGACCCCGGCCTTTCCGTGGAGGTGGAGGTCGCCGCGGTGGTTTTGGTAATGAAGAGATGGGGGACGAGGAGCGCCCTCGTAGGGCATATGAACGCCGTAGTGGAACTGGGCGCGGGTATATATGTCTCTCTTATGGTTCTTCATGCTGTATCCTATACTCTGATGTCTTTAATAGCTATCCATATGGCCCTTGAAAAAAAAACTTTGATGTATCCTGCATTTTGCTGTCTTTATTGATTTGATTATTTACATTTTCAATCTCTGCTTGCTCTGTGCAGAAGTGAGATCAAACGTGAAGGATCTGGTCGAGGAAACTGGGGAACTCAGAATGATGACCTTGCTGAGTGAGTATTTTCTTGATTACTGTAACTTCCTATATGTTGTCAGGACCTTCACCATATATTCTTTTGAGATGAGCATTACTTGTGTCTGTGGGTGTGTGCATAAAGCAGTTTTTCTTTTTGTGTTGCTTCATCCAGGGTGACTGAGGAAGTCAACGAAGGTGAGAAAAAAGCTGCTGAGAAGCTGCCCGGAGAGGAGAATGCAACAGATGGCAGCAAAGAAATTCCTGCAAACGAAACTGAAGAAAAAGAGCCTGAAGCTAAGGTGATTTTATTTGATTGTCATTTTAATTGTGTGTAAGATTCCAAACTAAGCTTCGATTATGATGGTAACAAGATATGGTATTCAGCTGCTGCTTCATTTAATTGAGAATATTTTCGCAAGAGTGCCATCGGTTTAAAATGGTAAATAGTCTTCTACAGAAGCATTAGACTTCTCTTTTACCGGGAAATTGAAATGACAAGTTTTCTCCTATTGAAGAGTTGGAGTGACCTACTTCTTTACAATTACTAAAATATTAATAGATAACAAATTTTCCATTGTGATGGCTACAAATTATTATTCAGAAGAACAGAGGCTTGAAGAGTTTAAAGACATATACCTTCAATGACACAGTTCATTAGTTTAGTAGTTATTTAGGTGGCTTTATGTTTGTCGTGCGTCTCTAAGTGTTCCCATGATAAATTTTTATTGGAAAATGCAGGAAATGACACTTGAAGAGTACGAGAAGGTCCTGGAAGAGAAGAGAAAGGCTCTGCAGGCACTTAAAACTGAGGAAAGGAAGGTGGATGTTGACAGGGAGCTCAAATCCATGCAGCAACTTTCAAGCAAGAAGGGCAATGATGACATATTTATTAAATTGGTAAAATACGCCAACACTCTTTGTGAATTTCTGCATATACGTTAATATTGTGAAGCTCCTCGAGTATTCTAATCCTCTGTTCCATTTGATATTGTTTTTAGAACTCTGATAAGGATAAGCGGAAAGAAATTGCTGACAAGGAAGAGAGAGCCAAGAAGGTAGTCCTACTTACCTATTCATTTCCCCCACACATATATATAGGAAGTCAAAAGGACCATGTGTTCGAGTCTGCCATAATTCCCACTTTCGATTGACATTCAGTTCGTGTTTATTTAGCACCTATTTAAGTCATGCATCCAAGAAGTTGATTTCTTTTTAAGAAAATAAAATTTTTATATGACAGCACATGCTTCCTTTCTTTTAACATACATGGCTCGAAATAACCTCTCTCTCATCGCAAGAACTTTTGCCACTAAAATTTTTCTGCCAAGTGGCTAGTATTTATCAGAACCGGGAAGTGGGAAGTAAATTGGCCATGCAACTAGTGCCCTTCAGCTATTAGAAGGGGAATGGTATAATATGTAGCAATATTGGATCCCAAGGTGTTGGAGGCCAGTCTCTTGAATAAATTACAGTAGCCAGACAGGTCAATTGGTTTACCTAAGACCTGGCCTTTGGTACCGGCCTGGTTCTGATAAACTATGTATGGGACTTTTAGTTTGGGTTTGCATGTATCACAGGTGTCTATGTATTAATGTTTCTTTTGACTTGTTCCATAACTGTTTATTTGCTTGTGTTTCTAGTCTGTCAGCATTAATGAATTCTTGAAGCCTGCTGAGGGAGAAAGGTACTACAATCCTGGTGGTCGGGGTCGGGGACGTGGCCGTGGTGGTTCAAGAGGAGGAGGTTTCAGTGGCGGCCGCCCAATGAGCAGTGTGGAAGCAGCCCCTTCCATCGAAGATCCTGGGCAGTTCCCAACATTAGCTGCCAAGTAAGATTTATTCCCTGCCTGCCCCCCAACCTCGTTCTCCTTGCATCTGCTCCTACGGTCTCTCCAAGTCTGAGCGGCAGGAAATTGTCTAGAATAATGGGGTTTCCTGTATCAGAAAGGTCTATTTAAGTTTTTATTAAATGTAAATTTTGGTGTTTCTTCATGTGTAACCCTGTAGCTTTCTTCTTCCCTTATTGTCTTCCTTCCATGTTTTACACTCTGGAGGTTGGGGCATATGGAGCATATTTATGACTTGGTTTATTGATGCTCAGTTTTGATTTGGAATAGATGGAATGGCCATTCAGTTATCATTTCAGATTTGCTATTAATGCTTGATGTGTGGAAAATGAATTTCCAATGGGCATTCTTTAATATGCTCAAAGTAACCGGGGCGAGACGTAACTGAAATCAACCAAACAATTTGGGTATGCAGGGTTTTGTTAGTCTCGTCATGAATCATTGCGGACCCAGGAGTTATATTTTTCATCTTATTTTAAGAAACTTGTCCCGTCCCCTAGTTTTTCTTAGCCTGGTACAGATAGAGTTTTTCCTTTTACATCACGTTTCAAAACTGTGGGTGATGTAATAATGGGCAAGTTGTCTGAAATGGGTATAAATTGGTTGGATATTAATTTTTGGAGTTGGCCCCGGAGGTGTCCAGGTGAGCACTCTGAGGGGTGTCAGAGTATAAATGGAGGTTTTAATTAACTAAAAAAAAAGCCTCGGAGGGTTCTGGAAGAAATTATTAGATGGTCCTGGACTATTAATATTTGGTGGACTACTTAAATATAGACTTTATGATTGAAAAAATGGTCTCACAAGAGTTTATTAATAAATTATCAAGTTTCATATATCGGAGGTTTTAATTAAAAAAAAAAAAAAAGCCTTGGTGGACTAGTTAAATACAGACTCTGTGATTGAAAAAATGGCCCTATTGATAAATTATCAAGTTTCATGATCGGAGGATTTTCATTGAATTAGTCCACCAAGTGTTAAATAAACCAGGACCATTTAATAATTTCTCGGGTTAATGAGTTGAAACGTGAGAGCATAAGCTGATGTTACTGATGTCTAAATTGCTTTACATTTTAGGCAAATCAGCTTTTCCTCTCGGGTAGGGATGACTTTCGGATGCCAAGGTTTGGATTCTTGATACAATGAGGCACTGTTGCATACTTGTATGGCAGGTTGGTTGTGGCAAATCAGAACAAAGCAACATACTACACTGAATATAGCTAGACTGATAAAATCTGCTTACGGATGAAGATGACAGATTTCAAAATGCAAAGAAAAAATCTGTTTACGGATGAAGAAGACAGATTTCAAAATGCAAAGAAAAAAAAAGAAATGTACGAGTCTCTTAAATCCTAACCCTAATAATACCCTTCTATCTCTCTCAATATTGAGAATTTCGTCTATTTAGACTGAACAATAGAAACCCTAATACAAAAGAGACTAAGAACAGTACAAAACCTGCCCATAACAAAATTCGTATTGCCTCAATGTACTTGAATTCAGGTCATATCCGAACAAGTACGTAAAAAATTTAACCTTGTCCATTCTTTAGTGAATTTGAAGAATGATTCATCACTCACCATTAATCACTTTCCACAGACCACTCATAAAGACATGTCTGCATGTGCACCACATTTGCTGGACACGGGCCAAACCAGAGCTATCTCAGACTCTCAAGTTGCAATCACTTTGCTTTAACTAGTGGAGCTAGCCCAACAATAATCTAATGTTGTTATGAGCAACTGAAACAAAATAAAATAAAATCCAAAGCAAATGTAAAATTGACATGGAATTGAAGAGAACAAGGAATGTAACAAACAATGACATTTATAAGTAAACTTAATTTGTACAGATTTCTTTGTTCTTTTTGCAATTAAATATATCCAAAAGAATGGGATCCTCATGGTTACAGATTTAACCACCAATAGAAGCAAATTTTAAATAAGTTGGTTCAGGAGGAATAGGATTTTCTCTTCAAATCGAAGAGCATTTAAGACTATATTTTCACATCCCATGGAGGAAACAGAAGACCAGACAGTTCAGAAATCACAGATACTTCATTTTGCCTACGATGAGCAGCATCCACTATTCTGTGCAACAGGCTGCCCACGGATATTCACTGTTGGAGGCTTGGGATTGTTCATTGCTGGTTGGCTAGCCATCCTGCATTTAACAAAACATCCAGTGCGTGAGGGAATGGATGTCCAGAAAGATAAAAGAGAGTAAGAATCGGACTCTGCTTTCCTTGTTAGAACTCCCTCAAATTAAATTAAGGATAGATCAAGGTAAACGAAGATCACATCCATCCATCAATCAACAATCCAACTATTATCTATCATTAATTAGTTTCCATTATTATGTTTTAATAAAACTTTTACATGATAAGGTTGCCAGGTTAGTTTCACATTAAGGAATCAAGTTGAGTATTTTCAACCTGATGCAGGATAGGTTAGGTTAGAGAGTCTTCAAATAACCACATCTGATCCATTGCAAGCTCTACCTATAAATAACTACGATATATTTCTTTACTTTCTAAACGAACTTTGACAGTTAATTAAAACTTCAATACCAAACAAGGCATCAAACAACCGGATGAAGGGTGAAACTATAGAGTTTGACACCTGATATCAACTAGATACTTCTTTTTAACCTCTTCAACAAGCCCCGACTTATCTATCACATAAGGCAAAAGTCGTCCATAATCTACCAATCCATCAGTTATGAACTCAATGCAAGGGGCAGGATAACTATAATTCTACCAGCACATCAATAGCAATATCAAAGCAAATGACATGGTAACCTCCCATGCTTACAAGTCCCCCTCCATTAAAGATACTTCTACAACCTCCTATGCTTACAAATTCTACCAGCCCATCAATTGTGATATCAAAGCAAATGACATGGCAACCTCCCATGCTTACGAGTCCTCCATTAAATTTACTTCTCCAACCTCCTATGCTTACAAATAGGCTTGCGATTGGATCAGATTGGATTCAAACCCGGCCATGCTCGATCCGATCCGAACCTGATAAGAGTATTTTTTATCCAATCTGATCCGATAACCTGACATTATTTATGAATGAATTTATACGCAATTTGTTATTAATTGGATATCCGATTCATTAAGGGTTTAGAATAAAATTTAATGTCAAAAGAAATAGCAAACAATGATTAGAGAAAAAAAAAGAAAGGGAGAAAGAAGCCAGAGAAGACAAACAAATTGTGAAAAAAAATAATAATAATAATAAAAAAAATAAGAAAATTGGGTATTCACTCTTTGTTAAAGAAAAAGACTTTAGTAAGAAAAAATAGAGAGCGGGAAGAAGAAGAAGAAGAAGAAGAAGAAATAATTATTAAAACATTTGGATAGTATGTAAATATTATATATCATAGCATTAAATAATATATTCATAACATATTATATATGATATTATGTTAGGTTAAATTATCATCAGATCGGATCAACAATAATTTATAACCTTTTTGTTTAACCAACGGATCATCAGATCCATCGTCAACAGGTTATCGAATTAAATGTTTCAATCCATATCCGAGTTATCGGATCAAAATATGATCCATTGACAAGTCTACTTATTTCTTCATAGAAGTTACTCCCAGATATTCAGAACTTGCATTGGCATGATACGACAAAATAAATTATTGGGTGCATTTGCTACCTACCTATTTTTTATTGAAGCAGTCATGGCCATGAAAGCCTGCTCCACATTAGTAGCATCTTTTGCACTTGTTTCCAGAAATGGTATGCCAATTTCATCAGCAAATGCCTATAAGGAATTAAATCAATGCAAACACAATCATTAGATTCTCTATTAATGAGTTAAGTTTGACATGTTTTCTTTAAACTAACAACAAAAGCCTACAATAAGTGTAAAGAACTAGTCTTTACCTTTGCAGTTTCATATGAAACAACTTTATTTGCAGTGAGATCACACTTGTTCCCAACAAGAAGTTTATTAACATTGTCACTCGCATAGCGATCAATTTCATTTAGCCATGTCTTCACATTATTGAAGCTTTCTTCATCTGTCACATCATAAACCACCTACAAGAATGCCACCCCATAGAGGAATTTGTTGTTATAACTTGAATACAATTGGCGACATGCCACTTACCCAACAATACGGTAAAACAGAAAGAGAGGAGATCACTCACTATAATACCATGGGCCCCACGGTAGTAGCTGCTAGTTATTGTCCTAAAACGTTCTTGGCCGGCGGTGTCCCACTGTGCATATTAATCAAGAACAATTTATTATATGGTTATCAAGAAACTCAAGATACTGGAAAATAGTTAAGTTAATCGCCTAAAGTAAAGGCAAAACAAAGCTTAGGAACGACGAGAACTCAATTAAAAGTTTTACATACAGAATATGGCAATATCCTAAGAGGGAAACAACAGGCCTATGGCCTAGCGGTACAAGACTCCTACTTCCCAAAGGGAGGTCAGGGGTTCGAACCTCAGTAGAGGCAGTGTGTGTGTCCCAACTAGGAAAAAAAATATATATCCTAAGAGGGATATCTGGTGAAGAAAAAAATCACCCAACTTCTTGCCAGTAGGAAATGTATAAGATGGGATCTCCCATCTAGGACTCATGTCCTAGTGCAATCTATTAAACAATTAGAAACCAAGTATCGTAGAGTAAATGAAAACTTACAATCTGAAGTTTAACAGTCTTCCCTTCTTGCTCCACAGTGCGAATTTTCTACAGAAAATAATGTGCGATAAACAAAGGATAATTTCATTGTTGATGTAAAATAAGTTAAAAGTTCAAGGCTAGGTAATATTACTTACAAAATCAACTCCAATGGTGCTTATATAACTCTCCAAATATGAATCATCCTATATAAAAGACAAGAAACCAAGAAAAATAAGGGTTCAGTGGGGTTATTAAACCAATTAAAATGCACTCAACTGACATGATTGAAGTAGAGCAGGCAATTCCTGACATGAGCCACAAACACAAATCAAAACCAAATTACAGGATTGTGTTGACCTAGAGTCTTAGTATTTTAAGCCTCATCTCAATTAACAACCCACGTTGTCTCATCAGAGCCAACACAAATCCAATCCACTCGGGTAGCCTGGTAAATAAGGATATTTTGATAATTTTACCAATCAAATTAGGGGTATCTTGTAAATCTATAAGGCTACGTTTGGATAACTTAAAGGAAATAATAGATTGAACGTAGAAGTGACATGTTTTACTGAATAGAATCCTTGCAGGAATGGTTTCAAATACTCCTTCCATGTTGCTATTTCAAATCCGCTCTCAAATCAATATATGCATATTGTTAAAGCTTGAACCTAAATTACTCACACTGAATTAACACTATAATCCTATAAATGATTGAATACAAATCCACTCATTTCCAATTCTTTAACTCAAATGGAGACTAGAAAATATGGAACTTGGGCAGTTGAACTTTATCAGACTAGAAAAAAAGAGAGTAAATACTACTTAAACCAGCTGTGTTTGCCTGGATCAATGATCTGTGGGTCATCCGTTAATTCTACTAATATCAACCATTTTGCAAACAAACATTCAACAACCAAAGAAGACAGTGTCTTCAACTTGCTGTAATAAAATTCTTTCAATGGAAAAGGCAACGAAATTTGCTTTAGGATACAGAAACAAGCATGGTCGACATCACGTGCTTTGACCTAAACAGCTAAAGTATCACATAGTCTATAACTATGTATATATTTCAAACTACTAATTCATTTGAAAGGTACGTAAGAGCTTGTGATCAGATTAAATCTCAAAGAAGTAGATGGTGTCCACATTGCATGCTCACCGGACACAATTCCACAGTTTCCTTAAGCTTTGTAGTAGCAGATGCCACCGTTGACAGACCAACAAAGACACTGAATTTCAAGTATCCTGGAATTGTTTGTCCTCCTAGTTGGGAACATTTAGTTGCTTAGTAAAGAAGCACATCGATGTTTGTGCAGCAGACATACTCATTATCATTCTCTGACTACATAAAATTATTGGAATTTTTTTTATTTGTAGAAAAATAAATTTACATGGTCAACATGCTGGATTAGTTAGTCCTTGATATTTTACCCAAAGCAAATCAATCTATAAACATTGAACAAGGCCAATTAACTACATTAAAACAAACCCAAATAACCTCTCCATTTACAAAGATAAGTTCAAATAGAATCCAAGGAACTTACAGCAAATCTCAGAAGAAGACAAGATTTGCCAACGCCAGAATCTCCAATCAGCAAAAGCTTGAACAGATAGTCGCTGCAAAAAAACAGCATAAAGTAAAAATTGAATATTCAGAACCATTTTTTTTGCAAAAGATACAACAAATCATTATTAAACTCACACCTTTCCCCTCCCCTTTCTTAACAAAATATAGGCAAGGTAAAATATTGGAAAGACGAAAAGGAAAGAGAGAAGTCTAACCTCCACAAAAATAGCTTATAAATTATAAACAATCATATCAAACCAAGCTCACCTATCTACTCAGAGTCTACGTAGTCTTATTCATCAGCAACATTATCTTCACAATCTAGCATAATGTTTGCTCAATATGCTTATGAATCCTAATACAGATCCTAGACAGTGTCAAGCCTTTATGCATTTTTGTTCAGTCAAAATCTTAAACAATAAAATATATAATGATGTGAGGAGCCAATGAATGTCACAATATCATGGCAACAAGACCAAGTTATAACAATAGGATCTTAAACTAAAAGTCTTATGCAGTTTGTATTCCACATATATATATATGTGGGTGTGTGTGTGTGCGTGTGATTTTATTTTTTAAGATGGCACTAGATAATGCTACCACGTTTTACTGTTATTTCTTAGAATGATTTACCAATAGAATACAACAGGGCCGCAATCCTAATCCATTTTATTGCCTCACATTATTAATATTCAGTTTCAATGTCCATTATAAACATCTTTCCAGTAACATCAAATATTTCCTGCATATTAATTAAGAAAACTTGTATGCTCTATTTTAGTTCGGATTAACTTAATGGCATTAACATATATTTCTAAACAAGAAAACACAATATAAAAAGCAAAAGTAAAGTTGCAGTGGTAAAGCCCTTTCACCAAGATTACAAAATTGAACCTTGTTTTTTTCTTCTTTTTTTATTTGGACCCTTGGTTATTAGCGACAAAACAGAACCTTTGCTGTGGGCTACTAAACAGTAATGGAACTTGAACTAAATGAGCTAGACAGTTAGTGGTCAACCTTGCTATTTGTAGAGAATCCAAAAGTGGGAATACTTAAAATTCACACGTTGTACATGTCAACATAAGGTTCAAAACCCTCCTTACTGTTTTCTACAACTTCAGCCAATATTTTTTAAAGTAATCTCAGACTCACATAGAAACTGTTGGGAATTAATACCCATTGTTCAGCACAGCAGAAGCAAAATAACATACAGACATGGAGATCTGAACACCAAACAACAAACAATAATACAAACAACACCACAGAGAAACACAAAATTTAACGTGGTTCAGCCCAACTTGACCTATGTCGATGGGAGAAGAGATTCCACTATAATTAATGAAGAGAATGTTACAACTGTAGAGGATATCCACCCACTGCCTCATGAGTGTATACACCAGACTCTGTACACGCACTCACTCATGCTCCAGGGTATGGTGTTAGATACCCGAGCCTTTCACAGTCTACCACTCCACAAATCCTCCTATTCACTCAAATCATCTCTAGCCTCACCCGACTACATTTCTACAAGGCTACACCTCTTTACTATTGGTGCCTCATTATACCCACTCGGTGCACTTGCACCCACACTCTGTTTTCTTCCTTTTCACTCACTCACTCTTTCCTTATCCTCTCTTCTCTAGCTTTTCTTTCAAAATACATGCATTTAATACACGCCCACTTTTTTTTCTTTTTCTTCTACCACCGCCTCAAACACAATATGACAATCATATTTTATTTTCTCTTTTCCCACACATTACACACACAGTGCATACACATTTCTACCTCTGCATACGCATTTCATCATTGCACACGCTCACACTTCAATACACCAAATTTTTTATTTTATTTTTCTTCATTCAATGCACTGACACACACACCACTAACTGCATATACAAATGTGAGTGGGCAATCTCCTCCACCCATGAGGGAGAGAAATTACCATACACGTAAATATTCCTGCCATCTTGATATAGAACTAAAGCTTCTTGACAAGCCTATGGCTCCCAGCAAGCTAGCACAAGATAATTCAGAAGTGGAATACCTGACAAATGGTTCGTGCTCACTGACAAACCTCCTCTGCCGAGGTTCTGCAATCTCCACCGGAGGAGGGGCGGCTGCTCCCCCTGATTAATATTTAAATATCTGATACAACATCATCTACCTCTCTAGCACATCTATCTCCACATGCGATGTGTGTGTGTGTGTGTGTGTATTATATTCTAGATTCCCATTACCAAACAACAATCAAATGCCATATATGAACCACTTGGCTTTGACAAACTCTTCAAGACGAACCTTCGACGTTGATAACACTTGTTGGGCACAACGGAAGCTTTGATACCACTTGTTAGGAATTAACTCCCTTGTTTGGCACAACGGAAGCTTTGATACAACTTGTTGGGAATTAACTCCCTTGTTTGGCACAAAGGAAGCCAAATCACAAACAGAGATGGAGATCCCAACAACAAATAATAATACAAACAACACCACAAAGAAACACAATATTTAACACGGTTCAACCTAATCTAGCCTACGTCCAGAAAAGATTTCACTATAATTAATGAAGAAAATAATATTACAACTTTGGAGGATACCACTCACTATGTCATGAGAAATTACCGCGGTAAAGACGTTCAACATCGGATTGTGTACACACACTCGTACTCCAGGGTATGGTGTCAGATACCCGAACCTTTTATAATCTACCAAAGCCTTTCACAGTCTACGACTCTACCACTCCATGGGTCCTCCACTAGTCATCGGTGTTCTACCCATGCAAATCATCTATACCCTCACATACCCGACTACATTTCTACGAGGCTACATCTCACTACTTTTGGTGGCTCTTTACCCCCACTCGATGCACTTGCACCCACACTCTACTCTCTTCCTTTTCTATTACCTTATCATCTCTTCTCTGTCTTTTCTTTCAGAATACATGCATATATTTATGGGCAATCTTGCTGACCAATACAACAACATGCATTCAATACACGCCCACTTCTTTCTTCTTCCACAGCTTCACACACAATACGACAGTCCTAGTTTGTTTTCCCTTTCACATCACACACATTTCAATCACTGCACCCGGGCGCACACTTCAATAGACCAAATTCCTTTTTTTCATTCAATGCACTGACACACACGCCACTAACCGCCTATACAACCGTGGGTGACTAACCCAAACAGAAATGGAGCGGATAAATCCATTGTATCTCGGTGGTAAGTAATCCATTCACGCTATAATAGATCATGAACCACCCTTCGTTAATGATAGTGGCTGATAAGTGCCACCATTTTTTTTTCATTTTCTGAGAGGAAATACCAGACTTTCTTCTTCACTATTAATACAAGATATGAAAGCTATCAATATGACTGATGAGTGATTATCAACAAAAAGTTAAACGAGATTATGTAATCATCTACATAAATAATATATATGTACGCATTATTATTTGTATTTTATACGCTAATTTATCATTTATATCCGCGTTCTCTGGACCTAGATATATCCTAACAACATTAAGAGAATCTAACACAACTGGAATTGAAATAAATTTAAAACCGAAGCTAAACTGCAAATAATGGATCTAGAACCAAAAAAATCAACAAGTCTTACAGAAAGGGATCAACAATCATAATCCGACTTAAGCATCAAATCAACCATTAGTAAGAGCAAATAATCAAAAAATTAAGAACTAAAAGTAAATCTCACTCACACATATACACATACATGTTTCAAAGACGTTATTATCAGATAAATTCATTGGAGATTTACACAACCTAATTAAAAACCTACCAATACTATCTTTAAAAAAATAGGAAAACCAATGGAACTTACTACTCTGGATTCATGGCTGTAACTGTGATAGGATAAGGTAACGGACGCGGAGATTCAATGGATTTTCCGGCGAGAAACGGCCGGACTGACGGATCTTCGTCGAAGTAAGCTGGAGAGAGAGAGAGAGAGAGAGAGAGAGTGTGTGTGTGTTTGAAGAGGGCACGTAACTGGGGAAAGATGAAGTAAAAGAGTTTATTATATTTATTATCGGTATTATTTTAGAACTTTTTTCTTTTTCTTCTTTAGAAAAAGTTAAAGAAATCCCGTGAACTAATTTAAAGTAATTTTTAAAATTATACCATTTTAAAATAAATTTTTTTTACCAAACTCTAACGGCATTTAACATCTTTTCTAAAAAAAAGATCTTCCCTCTCTTTTCTCTTTATTCATATATAAAACAAGTCGTGTCTTTTTTTTATCTTTTAAATAGTAACAAATTATTATTATTATTATTATTATTATTTTTTCTAGTTGGTAGGGCTCATTACCTTTTTTTTATTGAATTATGCTTTAACGGATCCATTACCTTTTTATTGTATTACCCAAATCAAAAAATAAAATAATAAAAAAATTTAAATTCTAAAAATTTCGTGCTAAAAATTTTGTGCAAACAATCCTTTGGAACCTGGGTTGTGTGAGTACCAACTAAGAAAAAAAAATATATAAAATTTATTACTATTTAAAAGAGAAATAGAAAGATGGATGATCTTTTTTTGGAAAAGATGAGGGAGAGATAACGATATTAAAAGTCGTTAGAGTGTGGTGAATTTTTCTTAATTCAAAACGATACAATTTTTAAACTTTGGAAAATTTTTCTTATTTCAAATTGGAAAATTTTTCTTATTTTAAAATGGTGCAATTTCAAAGTTTTTTTAAATTAGTTAACGTGGTTTAACACCAGAGTAGATAAGTTTTTTAATGTTACATGTCATTCTATAGGGAATTCAACTTACGATAACGTAGAGAATCTTTAACTTAAAAGATCCAAGTCCAAAAAAAAACAATCAATAAACAATAATATTTTTTCTTTCTTTTTCTGCTAAATTAGAAGGCTGGGGGTTAAAAACTCTGGGGCATAGCGGCGTTAACGGAGATATGGGAGGTACGTCCTTAAGCTATCGTTTTTGAATCACACTTCTGACTTGAATGGTGCGTGTGTTGTAGGACTGATACATATGTTCTAAAAAAAAAATTGGGGATTAAAAAACGGGCACATTTGTTCGGGAACTAGGAAATACGCGAACTTTAATACGAGCACATCCGATCAGTCAGTTGAACACTAATTTGGCCATTAAAAAATATTTAATTTTCAAATATTTTAATTTTTGTAACATCTATATATAAATGTTCTTTACTTTTACTTATTTTTTATATTTTTATGTTTGTCATTTTTTAAAGGCCAAAATGCAAGAAAGTCATTTCAAATTTGTTTTTTAATTGTCGCATCACCCCTTAAACTATCTATCAAATTGGCAAAATTATTCCTAAACTATTTTAATAATTTGCAATGTCGTCATGTGTTACAAGAGGTATTTGTTCCAAAACGGATTTGGATGGAGAGTGAAAAGGGTATAAATAGGTGAGTATGTACCAAACAACTTAAATTTTTGAATAAATAGACAAACGTCCACCCGTTACAGTTGGTACAAGAGCCAAACTTAGTCTTTGATTCAGTGTCACGCCAAACGCCTAACCCCTAAGGCGGGCGAGCCACCAAGGTAAGCAGAGTGACCCGATTTCAACGATGGCGTTGCGAGTTCGGATAGGAGAAAATGTTACAAATGGTATTTATCCCCCATCGAATCTGGATGAAAAGTGAAAAGAGGTATAAATGGGTGGGTATGCAGTACTACTCAACAACTTAAACTTTTAGATAAATGAACAAAGTGCTCACCTATTATGGACCTCAGCAAAAATACCAAAATAAAATGTCATTGAAATATATGAAAAACAAAAAAAAAAAAAAAACAAAAAGACATGGTCTGATTAGACGGTGTCATTCGAACGCATGCAAACTCGTTTGGAATGTAGAATAAGAACACAAAATTGTTTCATCCGTAGAGGTGGCAAAATGGGTTAGAAACCATCAATCTATTCATATTAGCTTATTTTTTAATGGTTATGGTAGACCATATTTAAGATGGGTTGGTTATTTTTAACTACTTAATTTGAGGGTCAGGCTAGGTTGGACATGGTTATCCATATTTAACCCATATTTCACACATCACATAATATACCCACAATACACATCTATTTTATATTACACTCAACTCATTTCTCTCTCTCACGAAGGGTTGCAAGTTGGGCTGGCCCTACCCAATCCATATTTTGGGCTGGTCGTGCGGGTTTCACGGGTCTTTTTTTTTAAAACAAATATACAAATTACATTTTCCTTTTATATGTTTGTAAATATCAAATTTTTTAAGAAAATATTATTTTTTAAACTTCAAAATTTTGGGCTGGTCAGTCGGGTTTCATGAGTCATTTTTTTTTTTTTTACAAATTACATTTTCCTTTTCCATATTTGTAAACATCAAATTTTTTTTAAAAAATTATTTTTTAAACATCAATATTTTGGGCGACTGGGTCGGTCGGGTTTCACGGAGTTTTTTTTTTTCTTTCAAATATGCAAATAAAATTTTTATTTTTAAAACATTAATATTTCTTCTCTTTCCTTCACTTCTCTCTCTCTAAAACGAGTCCATAAATATTGTTGAGTTTGAGATTTTTTTATATTTGTTATTAAATAAAATTTTACAACCTTCCGGGAAAAAAATAATTAAAAAATAATAATTAATGGGTCTACGGGTCATAACGAGTTGACCCTATACATTTTTGACCCGTCTATTTTCAACCCGTTCTGAACAATTAAATATAGGTATTGACCCATATTTGACCCATTTATTTTCAACACGACTCAAACCCGGCCCAACCCGCCCATTTGCCACCCCTAATATTATGTTATCATTTCAACCATTTTGTAAACAATACAAAATTCTCTTTAATTCAAACATTCTTTTTTTTTAGCTGTTGTGATATGATATTTTTATGTTTGAAAAATTTTATTTTTATTTATCTTGTAAAGTAAAATATTATTTATTTTGCAATATATGAAAAAAGAACAATTCAATTTCGAGACTCATTTGGCCCTGTTTAGCCATTTTGATCCCTCACTATAATTCCATCCCGTAGAATTTACAGAATGCAAACGTATCTCAAAAGATTAAATTTTCTATACATGCCTCAGCCTTTATAATGATGATGATTATGATTTTAAAGAAAGAAGAAATCCCACTATTTAATCCATTCAATACAAATTTATGGAATACATTATGTTTTTTCTTTTTAAAGATAAAGGGAATTAAATTATATTTTGTACCATAAAGAATGGATTTGGATCCTCTCCTGTTGCTAAAATTATATTTTGTACCATAAAGAATGGGTTTGGATCCTCTCTGCTGCTAAAATTAGATTTGACTGTTAGAACAAAGGCATGTCATTTATTCATTAATTTAAAGAATGGATTTGGATCCTTTCCTGCTGCTAAAATTAGATCACACGGTTAAAACAAAGGCATGTCATTTATTCATTAATTTAAGGGTTAAATGCAAAAAACCCCCTGAACTATTGGGGTTTTGCAAGAAACCCCCCTAAACTAAAAAAAAAACCCTTAAACTATGATTTGGTTGCATTTTACCCCATCAGGTAACTGGAAAAGATAAAAGACGATTTCGCTCTTATTATGAAACGACGTAGTTGTTTTGAACTTCGATATATATATATATTCCCAACCAGAGAAGGGGATTAAAAGACACCATCACTTCCCACTTCCATGGCAGTCAGTCGCCGGCCATCACCTCCCCAGCTCCCACCAACACTTCCACTAACAACACTGTCTCTGCCCCTCAATATGAAACGTATGCCACCACACAAACCCACTGGCACCACCCTAAACATACACCACCAACACATCGTCAAACCCAATTTAACCACATACAAACCCACTGCCATCACTCCAAACATACACCACCACTATATCGTCAAACCCAATTTAACCACATACAAACCCACTGCCACTCCAAACATACACCACCATCATATCGTCAAACCCAATTTAACCACACAAACCCACTGTTATCACCTACCATCGCCATCACTTCTCAAATAATTCAGTGTGATTTGGAGATTTAATTTTGAGATTTTATCAAATTGGGTTAGGGTTATACAGTCACGTCCAAACACCACCTTTCCTAATTGAGAATTGAAAATACCATATTAGCTTTAAAATCCTTGCTCTGGCTTCACCTCCTACATCCAAGGCGCCTGATGAGCATTGAAAAATGCGTATTTAAACCCCTTAAGCTTAGGCATTCTGGCACCTATATCTATCTTACTTTACCATTTTAGATTAATTTCGTATTATTTCCATTTTCAGGCACTTATCCCGAAAATAAGCTAACTCAGCCAAATAAGAGCTTAATTGAAGCAATTATGGGATTAAACAAAGAAAGGAGCAAAGTGGAGAAAGAAGAAAGCAAATGAAACCAAAGTTGGGAAGCAGCAAAGTTCGATCGATCCAAGTTCAAGGTTCGATCGATCGAACAATGATCGATCTCAGCACTTCAAGATAGATCCAAGCCTTGGCCCAAAAGTATAAAGTCCAAAAGTTCAATCGATCCAACACCACCCTTCGATCGATCGAACACTTTTATCCTTATTCAAATGATTGATCCTATCCACAACTGTACCATCCACTAACCACTTCTGTCCTTTTCCCAAAAATATCTCTTAAAATATTTCGGATTTATTTTTTCCCCAAAAAGCTCAACCAGTTGGATCGATCCATCCTAAGTTCGATGGATCCCAGCCAGTTCGATTGATCCAAGTCCAAGGTTCGATCGATCGAATTTCCTCCAGTACGAAAAAGTTAAATTTCCATCTCATTGAAAGTTATCCTTTATCCAATCATTAGGGAATATTGTGTGCACGACCCTAACTCATTTTGAGTGTCATTTTGACCTACCTATATAAGGATAAAGATTGCTTTTTACAGGGGGGAGCCAATATCATTCTCATATCATCTCTTGGAAAGGAAGCTTAGAGGAGGAGGAGGCTAGAGACACCATTGGAGACTCTTCATCAACAAAGGAGAAAATCTCTTCCATGGAGTTA